CCCGGTAAGTTCACAGTAGTGGGACCGAGCCATGAGATCAAGGGCTGGACCCCAAGAACCATTATCGGGCGCTTCAGCTTCCCCCTACCTTCATCTCCATGAAGGGCCCAAGGCAAGCACAGGGATCTATCTTTATCCCCTAAATCCAGCTGAGGCATCGTTGGCTGGACCTTGGACCAGAAATCGTGGAGCATTTGCCGCCAGTCTGAAGTATCCTCAAGATTGTGTCCCCCAAGGGCTAGCTCACCCCCGATGCTGAGCATGTAGCGTAGCCAAGCAGAAGGTAGGAGCACAGGAAAGTCTTGTACCATAACCCTCGGTTTCCCTCTAAGGATGCGAACTGGTGTGCTGACATACTCTTCAGGGATGGGCAGGGAACGATGTTCTCGAATGATAAGTCGATGAAGGTTTCGGCAGCAATTGTCATAGCCGCTTTTGCCAGTTCCACAACCAGCTATCCGATTGAGGTGAGCGTCATTGACTCCTGATCACATTACCTATATAGCTATAGGTATAGTTTAGCGCTTAGGGTTTTACATGGTACAAATTAAAGCCTATAGGGTTTTGGCCGGGTTTAAGGGTTTTGGGGCTTTGGGGTGGAAGGGTTTTAGTGTGTTTGGGGTTTGAGCATTATAAAGGGTTTATAGGGCTTAGGGGTTGAGGGTTGTTATCGACAAGTGACCCAGTCGCAGCAGCCTTCTCGAAGCTACTTGCGCCAGACGTACAACCCTCCGGGCACTGTCTGCCTTAGTTCCACCCATGCACTTATATTTAATTAACGTCCCTGTCGCAATCTAGATCCACAGCGTTTGTATAGTGCAGGCCAGTCACACCCTGCTCATACCCAGTAAATAATTCATCAGCCAGGTCATCGTCGAGGTCGAAATCAGGTCCTCCAGAGAGGCACAGGGGGAATGGGTCTGCTAATTTAATATGCATAGCGGACAAGGCGTTTAGGGTATAGGGTTTCGGGTCTAGGGTTTAGGGTTTCCAGTCCTGGATCATCATCATGTACAGGTTGTTCCGTGCCGGAGCCCAGGTAACCTGCGGTGGGTGATTGGAATCAAGGGCAGGTCTACTGGATAAAAAATTGGATAGCTTGACCTTCAAATGTGCAGCGCAGCAAGTGATGTTTTCATGCCCGTTTGCTTTGACCGTGCAACAGCTCCACGCCGATCCACGTGGGATTTATAAGCTGATCAGACAATGGGGCAAGGCACCAGGTAGGGTTGCCAGACCATGAAGCTGCATTCGTGATTGCGTATTAGATCCATAGTACAGGCCCAAACCCTGTGCACTGGCCCTGCCGCCTTCTAAGAAACTTTGCAAGCGAACTTGCTACCCCAACATTCGATCTTTGAACGAATGCAAAAACACTTTAAGCGTCTGCATCCTTTCTGCCACCCTTCTTCATTGGCTTGCCCTTAGAAGCCTTGGCTTTAGCCGCTTTAGCCTTGCCAGGCTTCTTCGTCGACTTTCCCTCACCGCCCACCACGGAGCGGGTACCCTTGATTGACCTGGAATTCATTAAGGGCTTGGGTTTGTTAAGGGATTATGCAGCTATAGCTTTATATGGGGCCGTATATATATATACATGCATATCCGGAAGTCGAGCACTAAGTGGGGTAGCCACTAGATCGGTTCATGTAGTTTAGGATCGAAGTGGCCCTTATAGCGTCACACCATATATCCTTTAGCCACCCATGCATAAACCCTAAACTTATACATCCTAATGCTTCCAACCCTAGCTTCAATAAACCCTAAAACCCTAAACCTCTGAACCCTTAAACAAAAGGACAAACACTAAACCCTATATATAGACCCTAAACCCTAGCTATAAGCCAAACAACTTCGATCTCACGACCAAATTGTTCACGATGAGGTCCTGCTTGGTGATGTCGGCATAGATCTTGAGCAGGGAGTCATTGAATGGCCTGAGCATATAGGGGCTTGGGTTTAAGTTTAGTGCTATAGGGTTGTGGTACATAGGAATTAAGGGAAGCACTTGTCCGGGATGCTGGTCAGGGCCTCTGACTGCTTCTTCGTCAAACCGTCAAACAAACCCTTCATGGTCTGCAGGGCCGCTTTGATCTGATCACGTAGCCTTAGCTTTTTTGTACAAGGTTTCAGGCCCAAACATGCATGCACAACTCTTGCAGGATCATGTATTGCTGGCAAGGAGGCCCAATCACTCGAGCACCATCGAAGCCATCCAAGCGCTCCTTCCCGAATACCCTAGATAACCCTTTCCCCGAAACTAAGAAAGGACCAAGCTCTACCCTATATTCTAAGAGCCCCAGTCCACAACATCTTCGATATTGTCAATCTTGCGCCCCAAGACTTCAAGGAAAGCCGGCAAGATGCTGAGCGGAGAAGCATTCTGCTGCAGAGATGGAAACACAATCCTTAGGCACAATGTAGAACTTAAAAGTCGATCATATGAAATGCTCATGCAATCTTCATGCAAAAAATCGTGCAGAGCAGAAGTCTTGAACGAAGCAGAGGCCGAGAAAGACTCTGCAGCCTCCCTACCATCGCTCCCTGCACTGGAGGAGCCTGCAGGATTGCCACGCAGGATGTCTGCCTCGTCAGCATCCACAGCCGGGAGGTCGTTTTGCAGCAAATAGCCCGTCTCGTCCTGGCTCATACGTTAGGGTTCTTGAGGTTGGATTGGGATTCGAAATGTTGGATTGATTTTAGGGCAGCTCCTCCATTTCGATCGATCCATTCATCGACATAGACTCCCCCTGCTCGTCCAGGAGCTCAAACGACTCACTCAATACCAGGGTAGCTTCCTCTTCTCCATGGATTGGAGACTTACGCAAGAGCTGACGCGCAGCCGCCCAGCGCCAAGCATTCTCGATCATCGGCCTTATATAATGTACACGTGTAGTGAAACCATTCGCAGACCCTTCATGCGTCTTCAAACATGAACTGGCTTGTAACTTCTTGGGCTAGCGCTTTGTCCAGTGGCAAACCGAAGACAGGTAGTGCTTTGTGTAGCGACCACCTTGGCGTGCCTTTGAGAACTTCTTCTGGTGCCACTTTTTGACCTCAACTTCCAGCGCCTTAAAGTCCCCGTGTTGTTTCAGGAGCTCCCGAAGTTTCTCACCTAGGTAGTGCAAGGTCAGAAACCAACTGCCAGTTTTGCAATCACACAGCTTAGTCACGCCCACCGTCCGACTTATACAGGGACAAGGCCTCAGGTGAGCATTTCAGAGCTCCGCAAGCCTTGGGCTCGAAATAGCGACGCAGCCTGAGAGGCAAGGGAGTCATATATGTAATTACATCAGCTCCCGGCACCAATGCAAATCAGAAACTTCCAGTACGTTGGGCTCTTGGACCTTTTGTTCTGCACCTTCTTGACAGGAGGTGGGGCCTTGCTTGCACTTGGCCCTGGGCTGGCGAGCTCCAATGTGGGCTGCCGCACAGGCTCTTCCTTGGGGACTGTCAACCTGTTCGGGCTTGGGGGGTTAGGCGCATCAGGGACATTGGCAGCTTCTCGCAGAAGTCTGTCCATGCTTGTTGCCTTCGGCAGAGGGCGCTGGGAGTCCTCCATAATGCTGTCATAGGAGTCGTTGGTGTGGGATTTGGGAAGGCGATCAGGATATTCCGCAAGAGGCTTTGCATCATTGCCCACAATGTCAAAGACTGAAGATCTTCTAGCAATCGCAGGGGCACCTACTAGGCTTATAGCACCTATAGGCAAAATCAGTGACACGACGAAGACCTAGTATACATAGTGTAATTTAGGACCTGGTGTCGAACTTGGCGGCAAAGGTTCATCATAACGAGAGGACAGCTTAGCCTGAAGTTCGGCTATGCGAGCTTTTGAAGCCTGAGCTGCGGCAAGAATTAAATTTCGCGATCTGAGCCTCCTAGACTGCATGCAAGTAGGCAGCAGCAATCTTTGCATCCAAGTCATCAGCTCCCTTTGATGCAGCCATTGCGTTGTGAGCTAGCAAAGGAATGCCAGCCACCAAGGTAGCACAAGAGTGCAGTCTGGATGCCATCTAGATACCCCACAAGAACTTGCGCCACACAGCAATGCAGAATCATCCGCACAGATCATGAATCGTCTCGTACTGGCTAGATAACCAGGCAATCAATTCAGGCACAGGCATATTGTTTTGGCAGGTCTGCTTTGTCAACGTTAAGACAGCCTTTGACTGGCTCCAGGACATGACTATAAGCAGAGAACCCGAATTATGGAGCACGGGGCAGGAAGGGTTTGTAATGGTTTTTGGGTTTGCGCGCGGTTGCTGTTATTTGCGCTCGGGTTGCGGATATTTGCGCTCGGGTTGCGGGTGAAATCTGTTCGAGTTTTTTGCTCAGAAGACTACAAAAGACTACTTTGACCTTGGTTGCGTGGTGCTTGGGTTCCAGGCCCCAAAATCATTCAGCAGTGCAGGCGAAACCTTTTCAAGGCTTCGAAGCCCAGACTAATTGGCTGGCCCTGAGCTTTGAGCACACAGGTCCTGGTAATCCTTGCGGAGGGCAGCTGACCCACAGGCCTCAATTACATTACTGAGTCACTTCGAATAAGTGGTTCTGCAAGCATGCAATATTATTGTCAAGGGCACATGGGTCTCGATCTCCTGCTTGAAGTCTGCCATAATACCCACCCAGCAGTCGGGCATCCTTGGTTGGATTGCAGAATATAAACTACCTACGCATGGCTTCAGCTTGTGGCTTTTCATGCAGACATATATGCAAGCCATGTAGCTGGAGATATTTACTCGAATAGAGATACAGGAACACCTCATGGATCCTGCTATCAATCCATAGGTCTCCTCGAGGGAGTCCTGCGAAAATTTCTTTGTCCGTCAGCGACAGGTCAATGGCCGCCTTGCCACGAAGATCTGCTCTGTGCTCCGCAGGCAAGGCTTGCCAGCCAGAGTACATTTTGAGGATGTTTTCCCCAAAAGTTCTGGTGTAGGCCCTGAGATAGCTGAAAATATTGGGCTGGGTTAGGGGGTCGTTGGGCAGAAGGATCTGGATTGTTATGTTAAGAATTAAGTTTCAACCCTATGAGCCCTATACCCGAAACCTTAAAGCCTCACCTGCGTGCAAACCAGCTTCCCCGATTTCTTCAGAGCTTCCTTGTCGCCCTGGAACTTCCTGCGGCCATCTTTAGTAATATACTTTCCTTATTTGTTGATCACAGTTCCTGGTCTGCCCACAGAGCTTGGCAACTAGCATATTGCCAACTGTTCACATTTAATTAAGGCAAGGCACTGACAGTGCAAAGACTGGTCAACTGCTCCTTTGCAGGCTTGGTAAGCTGCCCTAGATCTAGGTCCCGAAGCGTCACCATCGGCGAATACAGATGGGTTCTCTTTGGGCAAGGGCAGCCATGCAAGGCCATCCATAGCGGCTGCACAAAGACCTGAGTGATGAAATTCTGGAATCGTATGTAGAACTGCAAAATGCACTAGTTCTGCGAAATAGGTTTGCGTGCCAAAGGGCTCTTGCAACGCAGTTACACAGCCACTCAAATCGATGGTGCCGGTAAAGCAGACTTTGGTGCGGCTGTTCTAGCAGAAATGTAGCTCGTTTGCAGAGTATGAGGAGAACGAGCAGCACAAGCCTCAACATTACAAGCATGGTCCAAACGCTAGATTCATGCTGGCTGTACTAGCAGCTGCTCTCTGTCACTGACGCATTGGATTATAATTTAATATGGTGACATCTGGGGTTGTTTTGATTGCATCTGCAGATTATTGTATATCATATATTA